ACATTTTCAAAAATAAATAAATCATTGGCTTCATCAAAGCTGATCATTCTCTCCGCCAAATAACATAATATCATAAAAAAAAATTAATCCACCTTATGTACAGACCTTTATCAAGAAGAACAAAAAATGATTACTTACTCAAAGATCAAGAGAGAGCTCAGATCCAAAAGGTTGGAGCTAGTACATACAAATGAATGGGGGTAGGACGGTCCTTGTAATACGTCACATTTATTCATGAATACAATAGAAAGGTATAGGTCTATTTTATGTAAAATAGATTAGACGTATTCGTCATTTTGAGAAGTGGAAGAGCTTGATGAAAAATGAACTTGAAAATAAAATCAAGTATCAAGAATTAGATAATGAGAGGTGTACAATTCTATTAAACCAAAAAATTATTGTACCACACATGAGATTCATATGGAGAGCAGTCCAAAAAACTCCAAAATTAAATGGTGTTCTTAAATAAATATAACTCTTAATGAATCTGCAAAAAGTATGACATTTCGTGCAGGTCTTCCAAAGTTAATCTGGGTAGATGCAACAAACATAGCATCACATCTTATTATTTACGACAATCAATTGGACTCAAATTTAGGCTTCCAGAATAAGCCTAGATAGAAAAGAAATGTTTATTATACCTAAAGGTTTTCGGTTATCTACTATATGTTTACGTTGATCCAATTATCAGACATAAATTTTGACCAAAAATCCAAACAGAAATTATTTCGTTATATATGACGAAGATGAGTTTCATACAAATACTAGCATAATGATAAAAATTAAACAAATTGGGAAATATGCTATAAATAAAAAAAGGAAAAAGAGCGTATAGCCAAAATCCCTAATGCGTCAGCCATTACATCTCTTATAAATATAATGATTTAAATAAGATCAAATATAGAAAAAAATAGTGAAAACAATTAATACATGCATTTCAAAACAGGGAAAAAATACTAGAAAATTGTGAAGTGATTCAAAAGATTTAGGGTACATCTACACCTTTGACATCTCCACCTTGGGTGACACCAACAACAACAAGCCTTTATCCCACTAAGTGGGGTCGGCTACTTAGAAATATTTTTCTCCATTATGTCTACTGAGTGAAAGGGCATTCTAGCAAAATTAAATCAATTGTAATAAGGTGTTAATCCTTGTCCTAATGATGGTCAAAGTATTATTCACTTAGCAAAGAGCGTTGTCCCTCACTCCCAAACATAGCACATACAACTCATGCATCGTTGCGTATGCAACTTGCTTGAAGCTATTGAATGTTTTTTTAACTTCTTAAAATTAAAGGAGTAGAAAATCCTGTTGATATGCTCATTTAAAGTGATTCCCATTTAAAAATTGAGGATTTGCAAAATCTCAATTAACATCTATGAACCATGACATAGAAATGCAATCCAAAGAAGTGTTTTAAAGATGATCACTAAGCCAAAAAAATAAAAACTTCTCCGAGTAGAGATAATCAGAGTTCTTAAGTGTTTAAAATAGTAGCTCTTGTCAACAACATGAAAATCCGAAATGAGAGCTATCACAAAGTACTAAATCAAGAATATCATTAGATTAAAAATGTAAGTTAACACAAAGTCCTAATGAGAGCTCCATGTAATCCTCATTAGTAAAATAACCCAAAATTATAAAAGAAGCATAAGTTCTTATATTATCCAGATAAAAGAAGAGAATAAGAATTGTCATCAAAACGTTTGTCAGCATACAGCCCTCATCCGTAGAAATAGATGTATTTATTTTGAATCGTTACCATGGATAAATAGATGTATTAATTTGGCTTCATTTATATGAAGTATAAACTCTCACTATGCATTTCTTTTAAAATTTAATAAAATATTTCACATTTGTACCATCATGGGCATAAGTTTCTCACAAAACCATGTAAATTTATCTTGTATTTAAAATCAGTGAAATTTATTATCTTAATCTTATTTAATTTTTGCTCCAAAATTTCACCATTATATTATCATTCAATGGCAGCATTCATGTATAATATACAGCAATGAATTATATCGTCTAATTGCCATACAATCACATCAAAGATCCAACCTCGCTTTTTGACAATTGAAACATTTTGACAAGCTTCGCTCTCTCCTTGAGCTAAACAATCCTTTTGATCAAGGAATTTTAATTTCATGACAGTAAGTTAGACGATCTCCGGAACCTCAGCCCATTGCTTCAGCATGGCATCCTCTTCAAGCAATCAAGCACAAAAAGCTACTCAGAAAGTACTATTAAATACAACAAAACTGAAAATTGAAGCTGAAATAGATTCAACAACAGCTTTTTAAAGCGAATGAGAGGCAGAAGGAGACACAGATGAAATGCTATGCAGGGAGGAGGAGGTACCCTCCATTTCTCTACTCTGCGTGAATTCTAATTGTACATTTGTTTGAACGACGTGAGAAATATAGGTTCAATTTCAATCTGTGCAAGGAAAATCTCACCATGAACAGTATGATAATCGACACAAATCACATGCACGCAAGTTATTTCCAATCCCAAACAATTGATGATGCTTGAAGGCGCTAAGCCAGAAGAGGGTAGAGTGGCATTCCTTCTAAAAACTGTGCAAAAATAGTGACGTTGAACTTTGACTTTATTGGTTTATCAAAGGATGTTTGTATCAATATAATGTCACAAATAATATATTCCATCATTAAAGTTGTCCTCATAAAATGTTCCACTTTACCGCAAGAATTTTATAATTTAAGTATTTATTGTTTCCATATCAATTTAAGACATTTAAAATTTAACTAAAAATTATATAAAAGAACAGTTTTAAATCAAAATAGTTGGTGGAGGAATAATAATGTGCAAGAAAAGAAAAAAATATAAGAAGTTACATTATACGAAATTAGTTTAAATATAAAGCTTAGAGAACTGAGAAAAATATCACATGGCTTGCGGGGAGTCTAAAAGAACAATCTGTGATGCTAAAAATTATGTTTTAATAATTTTTATAATAGATTAGATACTACAAAGGATGAAAAATATATTTATAAACTAGCCAAACAAACAGAAAAGAAAAATAAAAAATTTAACTCAAGTAATGTGTATTAAAGATGAAAATCAAAAAGTGTTTTTCTTAGAAAAATATATTCAACATAGGTGGGTGAGCTATTTTGATAAAATTTTTAATAAAGTTTCTGAAAATACGATCGACCTTAGTGATCTTAATATCGTTAATAATAATAAAACGTTTCATTTTTACAGTCGCATTAGTAAAAAAAAGTCGAGGAGGCTTTAAGGAAAACCAATGGTGAAAAGTCTATAGAACCTGATGATATCCAAATTGAAGTATGGAAATGTTTAGGAGATTTGAGAGTTTCTTGGCTTACTAAACTCTTTGATATTATTTTAAAAACTAAAAAAATGCCTGAGGTGTGGAGGAAGAGTCTTTTGGTCCCCATTTTTAAGAAAAAAGGGATGCAAAAGAGTGTGCAAATTATAGAAGAATTAAGTTGATTCTTCTATAATTTTTTGGGAGAGGGTAATTGAAAATAGGTTAAGACGTATTACAAAGATTTCTCATAATCAATTTGGTTTATGTCAAACAGGTCTACCATGGAAGCTATACATTTATTGAGAGATTTGATGGAGAAGTTCAGAGATAATAAGGAGAATCTACATTTGATTTTTATTTATTTAGAAAAATCTTAAGATAATGTTCCAAGAGATATCCTTTGGAGAGTTCTTGAGAAAAAAAGTGTTGATATGACTTATGTTCAAGTCATTAAAGATATGTATACTAGAGTTGTTACTTGTGTTCGAATTGAAGGAGGATTAACCAAATATTTTCCTAATTCTATTGCATTACATTAGGGATTGGTTTTAAACCCATATCTTTTTGCTTTAGTTATGGGTGGTCTTACTGGACAATTACAGGAGGATGTACATTGGTATATGCTTTTTGCTGATGATATCTTTCTTGTGGATAAGACGAGAGAAAGAACCCAGGAAAAACTTGAATTATGGAGGTCTACATTAGAGTCTAAAGGCCTTCATTTGAGTAGAACTAAGACTGAATACATGGAATGTGATTTTAGTAGTAGTAGCTCTAGTGACAGAACTGTAACTTTGGGTGACCAAATTATTAAAAGATGTGAAAAATTTAGATATCTTGGATCTGTTGTTCAAAGCGATGGTGATATAGATGGGGATGTTAATAGTAGAATTCAAGTTGGTTGGTTGGTTGGAGTGGAGGAATGCAACAGGCCTTTTGTGTGATAGAAAAGTACCGCTTAGACTGAAAGGAAAATTTTATAAGAAAGATGGTTATAAGATGGTGGTGAGACCTGCAATGCTCTATGACGCCGAATGTTAGCCTTTGAAAGAGAAGCATAATACTAAGTTAAGTGTTGCCGAGATGAGAATGATTAGGCACAAGCCATTAATTTGGCTTTACACTTAGAGACAAAATGCGAAATAAATTTCTTCGTGATAGGCTTGGTGTAGCTCTAGTGACGAACAAAATTAGAGAGAGTCGTCTTAGATGGTTTGGTCACATTAAACGTCAACCATCTGATGATCCGATTAGGCAACATATGTTAAGAAAGACAGAGGTAGATCTAGGAAGACTTGGGCTTATGATGCGATTAGGCGACTTATGTTAAGAAAGGCAGAGGTAGATCTAGGAAGACTTGGGCTTATTGGATAAAATATGATCTTAATTTATTAAAACTAAATGAGAATACGACACTAATAAGGAGGCAATAGAGAAAAAATATTCATGTAGTCGGGATAAAGGATTCTCGTAGTGGGATTAAGGCTTTGTTGTTGTTGTATATGATATGAATTTTATTATTTCAGTAATTATTGTTTCCTTATCAATTTAAAACAATTAAAATTTAACTAAACATTATAAGAAGAACACTTTAATGAGTCATGTGCAGAAGCCATAAATTCATTCTAAATCAATGCAACGGTGAAAAGAACCCAAAAAAAAAACCAGGACATAAAATTTGAGTTCTTGACTCGGATACAAAGCAGAGACAACAACTGCTGATGGCTTCTGCGGCAATATTTCCAGTAAAAGACACGAAACAGAGCAGGATCCCAACTCCCATCAACGCGCAGACAAACCTACTCGAGAAATCAACCAACAAAACATCAAAAAACAAAACAAAAAAACAAAAAAAAAAAATCCAACAGGAACCAAATCCCATCGGAACACTTCGACGGAATGAGAAGAAGAAATCTAACGCTTACCAGGGAGCCGGAAGCTTGTCGAGATCCAGGCTGAAGGAAAGGCCATGTTTGAGTGTCTGATTTAGAACCCAAACCGAATAAATAACGATCGAAACGCCAACGAAGGCCTGGAGGAAATTGAGAAACTTGAGAAGGACGGCAAGGCAACTCAGAAAACAGTTGGGCCTCATCTCTCTCCGTTCCCTATCTTCCGGAAGAAGACTAAACCCTAAAAGTTTTCTTCCCAACTGGATTTCGAAACCCTAAAGAAAATCTGTATCACCACCGTCCTCTCTCCTTCTCCCTCGCTCAACGAGGACGATGAAGCGACTAGTGAACTGGATGATTTGACTTGTACGATTATTACCCAAAAAGGTAAAGGGAACGGTTGGCTGTGAGGAAGTAGCGGGAAAACTTAGTGGGCAAATCATTTATTTTTTTTAATTATTAATTATTAGTAAAACATGAATCAATGCATTAACTTAGAATTTTACTTGATTAATAATGAAATATTTTTATTCAAATTAATAAATATAAATATTTCCTTAAAACGTATAATTTAAATGAATTGGGATTGGAATTATGTATAATCTAACTCATTTGTTAATTATGTGATTTTTATTTTAATTTATTTTTATTCATCTAATCATAAAATTAAAATCATTCATGAAAATATTAGGACAGAATATTTCATAAAGAATTAAAATGTTTGATAATGCAACATATAAAAAATATATCCCATTAAAAAGTTTATATAATGAGAGTAAATATTCATTAATTTATGATTTATGAGTGTTCAAATCAAGAAAGGCTCAAATCAAGAAAGGCTTATAAATATGTGCTTAGACATCTTAAATTTCTTTAATGAAGTTAATTTTATTTAAATATGAATTAATTATTTGTTTGATTATTTCTGTGTTATTGAAGATAAACCATATATTTTAATTCAATAACCCGAAATAGCCCAGAAATTACTTATGCGGTATTATTTTTGAGTTATTGAAGAGAAACTTACTACGAAGATTTTTCCAGCATTATTTTTGAGTTATTGTAGAGTCTGCGGTTCTATTTTAATATTTTTTAGGTGGGCTGATATAACACACATGATGATGTATTACTGAGAGTTCAAAAGTAGAGCTACATTCAGAGTCCGAACATAAAATTTTTTTCATAGATTTTATGTATTCAAATCATCACAAGAAAAATAGAACATAAAAAAACAAAAATTAAAAACATTTAGAGAGCTTGAATCAATTTTATTTCATAAAGTTAGCTATGGAGAGAATAAATTAATAAATGTTCGAGCCAAATCAGATTCAATTTTTCTCTTTTCTACTTGTGTTAGTCTTGAAACTAAAGTAAATGATTTAAGAAATAATAACATTCTAAACTTTTAAATAAGAGCCAAGCAAGATCGAACAAAACATTATTATTATTATTATTATTTTTGACTCGTTTATAAATCTAACTCAAAATAATATATGTTTTCGGCCTGTCGGGTTAACAACATGACTGGCCAAACACCACCTATTATTGAACGATGAATGTTTTTTTCCATAGCCCTAATGCTCTACGTATACAAGCACAAGCTCTTGATATTCTAGACTTCATCTTCAACCAATATACCTACTCAAACAAAAATAATGAACAAAAATAATGTAAGACCACCTATATTTCTTAGCAGCGTCTTCTCCACAAATACGCCAAATTAATTCTCCCGAGCATAGGATGCTTACCCGATAGGAAACATATACTTCCATGCATCAGCATATCATGATTATAAGTTTTATTTTATGATGAGTTGAATGAAGCCTTGGATGCCCCCATGATGCAATAAATTATTTGGGTTGTCTACATACCAGACAATTCTGACATATTTACATATCAAACACCTAAACATTTCTTATTTATAGTCAAGCCACTCAAATCTTTAACATCAAAAATAATAATAATAATATTAATATTTCTGTCTTTTTAAAAATTAATATACAGTACAAATTTGTAATATCAAAATGTTACAGGTGTAAATATCGAAATCATGAATTCTTGTTGATACCTCACTTCCAGTCCAGTAGTGCCTTGGAAATGAGTTTTACATAATGGAGACATACGAAGACTTTAGACAGCACCAAGTAATTTTGGAATAGCTGCCTCCATGAATTGATACACCATGAAGCTAAAGGTTTACATACGCAGCACCCAATTCGTATGCATTCACATACACAGCACCCTAGCTCTGTTGCATGGTAGTGAAAAGGTTAGATAGGTGAATGCATAAGAAATTGGGTGAGGTGATGTGTATATACATTCTTCATAAGAAAAAAATATACAAGGCTTGATTTGTAAAGGCATCTGTGAAGGAGAAATCCGTAAATTATTCTACAAAAATGTGTCTCGGATCAAACGAGCCAATACACGTGATGCTAGCCTGCTGGTCACCTCTGGCAATACTTTGGCGGCGATGCCGGGTAATACTGGGAGGAGTTCTTGCATGATAATTGCAATGTTTATATCCTGTGACAATTCAGTGTAACACCAACTGTTATGGCAACAGGTGCAGGTATTAACGGGCTGACAAATTAAATACTTTCAACTAAATTTGGAAAAAAAAATTTATTAGAAAAATGTTATCCTATAATATTGAAATTTATTGGTTTAATTTAACAAAATTTTAAAAGGATAATTATAATGGATAAAATGATATATCATTTAAAAGAAAAAGGAGCCTGTAACGACTCGTAATTAACTTTGCAGTTTGTTTGCCTGAAATTGCACTTATTATTGAAAAAGAAAATTAAAAAAAAATGTACTTAGTATTGTGATAAATGGGTAAATTGCTTGATACTGGGTATGAAAGATTCTGCTACTGATGGCGGCAATGAATGAAACACTACGTGTAATCTTATGCCCAAGCTCAAATCAGCAAGATAATGTCCACTTTGGCCAAACAGTCTCATAGTTTAGTCCCATTGGTAGAACTTCCTAAGAGCTCATCCATCCCATAAGTGCTCCCATGCAAGTATACTTAATTTTGGAGTTTCTGATGAAATTCAACCATCACACAAAAGATATCTCAATGTTTAAGAGTTCAACTTCATACTACTTAAATGGTTTCACATAATCCCACACCCAAGTAACCAATGTCCTCGTAAGCATTCATAACTTTGAATCATCCACACAGATAGATTATTAGGTGACCCCTAAAGATTCAATAGGTGGCTCCCACCATGCAACACTTTGTCTCATTAGGGCTCAAGAGGTATCTCCTATGATGTAGCATTTTATTTTGTATAACACTTAGTTCTAATGAATATTAGTGTGGCACTTTGATATCATTTGCAATAGCCTGAATTCTCACCCATTAAAGATATTATCTGCTTTGCCCTAGAGGCTATAAAAATTGTAAATATAAAAAAATAAATATTAAAAAAGTCAGTTCCAACCACCCGTCCCCATAGTTATTTCTTAGGAGACGAATGTCTCACTCGAAGGAGAGGGAAGAATCAGACGAGAGCATAAAACAAGGAGGGAACAGTCAAATGAGAGTGATGGTTTTGAAACCTAGTAGGCATTCCAACGTGCGTCAAAAACAAGGAAGAAGATGCATAGTGCGAGAGACTAGAGATATAGTAGAAGAAGAGAAGAGAAGGGGGATCGTGCGGCTTGCGAACCTTCTGTGCAAGTTTGAGTGGTGTCGAGGAGGAAGAAGAGAAACCTTTCGTGTAGCGCATGCCCAAGCATACCAAACTGAGCAGTTTTGTGTGAGAAGCCTATAATATTAGTTATTTGAGTTGATCTATCCAATGCAATATAATGGCAATACACGTCCATTGGCATAAGTCAAACATACTCGACACAGCTAAATTTTATCATCACCAATTTCAGATGAACGCTTATACTATCACAGTACTTGAAGGCGCACACAACGATAAAGATGATAATATAATGATGAAGATAAAATGCACTTTTCTCACCGCTCACGGCATAAATGATATGCCAATAACTCACTTCAACAAGTATTGAAAATGAAAAGTTTCAAAACCCGTGCAATTATAAGCACAGGAATTATTCATATTTAAAGTAGTAAAAGCCTAACTACACAGTGGAATTCATTGCTAAAAAATCATGCACGTTGCTCCAATGAGATTAAGGGCAAATGGACAAGTAGACTCAAAACCCCCAAAACAAAGTGGTTCACATCAATAACCCCCTGAGTCCCAAGATGTAATAACGAAAATAAAATAAATAAATAAATATTAAATAATAATGATAATAACAAATTGAATAGTCACTAAGATAAGCACGCTATTGGTTAGGACTTAAGAGTCAAATTACTCGTTTGAGTCAAATAAACAAAGAGAGAGTAACAACATTGAAGGAGGGGAAGGAAAAAGCCGTAGGAAAAGGAGAGCAACATCAGAAGAAGATAAAAGAAAATATTAAAAGTCGACGTTGCTGCTTGCTGTAAGGAGGAGGGGGAGGAGGTGGCACCGAGGGCTTATCTGGATCGAGTCACAATAGAAGAGGAGGAAGCTGCAATTTCATTCATCGGTGTCGTGCAAAGAAGGAGGCCGCATCGCTTTCGCGTGCATGCGGAGGAAGTGGAGGAAGAAGAAATTGCGAGCATGTAGCTTTGGATCGAATCAAGACCGAAAGGAGTGTGAGGTCGTGTGTTATATAGATATGTTTAATATTTTGATAAGTTAATATATTACTAAATGAATAATTATACATATGGGTGAGGGTATGTTTATTTAATTAATAGAAATTTTTATTGAATTAGAGCTCTAAATATGGTAATTTTGGCCTGGAAAGAGGAGTTGGTGGAAAAGGCAAGCTAGGGAGGAAGAAGATCGATTGGGCAAATAAGTTAGTGAGAGTTTTAATTTTTGGTTTAATAGTAAGTTAAATTGTGTTTAAATTGTTTTGTGATTATTAATGAAATGATAAACAATTCTTCAATTCAACATTTATCGATTAGTAATGGTAAATTCTATAGATGATAGATATCAAGAAATCGAGGAAGTCATGCCATTGTAAATTTTATTAAAATAAGAAAAGGTTTTATAAGTTTTCAAAATATTTAGTAGGATAAATGTAAGTAATAAATGTTAATATCATGCTCAATATTGTCAGGGATTGAAGAATTTCTTTTTCAAAAGATTTAAATTTTAGGAGGGTTACCATATCAAGCAAGGTGAGTAATTATTTTTTATGCATTAAATTAATATTTTATTAAATAAACAATTATTTTATTAAATTGTTTAAAATAAATATTTTATTCATGTCTGACATTTTAAAAGTTTGAAATTGTATCACAAATAGGAAGAAAATAACAGACATATGAAGGTACATTTT